CACCACCTGGCTAACACGGGAAACCCGTCTCTACTAAAAAATACAAAAAACTAGCCGGGCGTGGTGGCGGGTGCCTGTAGTCCCAGCTACTCGGGAGGCTGAGGCAGGAGAATGGCGTAAACTCGGGCGGCGGAGCTTGCAGTGAGCTGAGATCCAGCCACTGCACTCCAGCTTGGGCGACAGAGCGAAGCTCCGTCTACAAAAAAAAAAAAAAGAAAAAAAAAAGTTAAATTTCATTTGAAAACATACCACAATGTCATTATCAATCTCTGTTCTGTCACACACACCCACATATGCTTGTTGTGGAGGAAGAAGATTTCTTAACACCATCCAATGTCTGGTCACGTTAAAATCTCCCTGATTATTTCCTTTTTGAATTTGTTTTTGTTTTTTTTTTTGTTCAATCAAATCCAAAAAGGTTTACAGTTCCAAAATGCCAGATATGTCCCATAAACTATCCATTATATATACTATATATAGCAGCGCCGTCCATGCATCTGTATCTTAATTTATTATGTGATCGATTTATATAAGTATGTCTTTTTGAGACGGAGTCTTTGCTCTGTTGCCCAGGGGTGGAGTGCAGTGGCTTCGATCGTCGGCTCACTGCAAGCTCTGCTGTCGGGGTTCCGACACCATGTCTCTTGCCTCACGCCTTCCTCGAGTAGCTGGGGACAGGTGCCCACCACAGCCCTGGCTAATTCTTTTGTATTTTTAGTAGAGATGGGGGTTTTCACTGTGTTCCATGGCATGGGTCTCATCCCTGGACTCCGTCCCTGGACCTCGTGATCCGACCCGCCTCGCGCCTCCAAAGTGCTGGGATACAAGGCGTGCCACACACGCCTGGCCCCTAATTTATCAGTTTTAAAAAGAATCGTGACATTTCTTAGAGATATTTCGTAGTCTGGATTTCTGTGGAATTGCATCCGGCTAGGAGCGTCTTCCCTCTGTTTTTCCTGTAATTTTCTTTTTTTTTTTTATTATACCTTTAAATTCTTAGGGGTACATGTGCACAACTGTGCAGGTTTGCTCACATATGTATACATGTGCATGTTTGTGTGCTGCACCCATTAA